AAGCTCCAGGTCCACTGGCAGCAGAACAGAACCAGAGCATGATGCTGCCACCTCCATGCTTGGTGGTAGGTTTGGTGTTCTTGGGGTTAAAGGCCTCACCATCTCGTTTTTGTTCCACCTGACCACAGAACTGTCCTCCAGAAGGCCTGTTCTTTGTCCATGTGACCAGCAGCAGACTTCAGAGGAAAGTCCTTCATCCTTGTGACACATCCTAACAGGTAAACTGAGAACTTTGTCCTCAGATTCAACATCCACATCCCTGCTGTCCTATTGGTCCACCAACCTTAAAACTCCTGTACAAGATCCAGTAAACCCCCACCGTTCACCTCCACCCACCCACAGCGCTGAGATACACTTTAAACCCTGCAGAGCTCCTCCAACATCTCCAGCTAGAACAGAGAGTCACCAAGAGCCACCACCTGGTTCTGCTGATGTCACTGGTTTCTGACTGTTCCGGACCCTCACTGTTGATTAAAGGCGACCAGGACTGAGATCAGATGTGCTGCATCAATCTAAAATTGCTTTCTTTTATCGCTACAGAACTTCACTAAGTAAAGTTATAAAAATAAAGTTTATCGTATGTAGTGGTGATGAATCTTCTACAGCTTTCCTGCAGCAGATTTTCTGGGCCTGAGAGGATCCAGCGGCAGCAGAAGAAGCACTAAAATCTGGAAACAGGCTGACAGAGAGGCAGCTTCTTGGTTCCGTCTCTGAAAGCATTTGACCTACTTATTTTTATTGGCGTTTAATGGAGCTTTAAGGAGGCGACAGGCAGCGAGCGGCGAGCTGATGGAGGTGAAGGAAGGGTCGACTTCCCCTCTGAAGCTGACAGCCTCGGTGAACGACGGGGTTTAAACACATGCAGGCACGTATGGACGGCGATGAAGGCTTTTACTGTGTATGTAGGCAGTGATTTAGGTGCATTAACATGCGGACAGATGTAGGCAGCACACACACACACCGAGCGCTGGGCAGCCGTCCAGTCAGGCCAAACATCTGTCTGTCAGAGTGATGGAGGGGAGATGGTGTGGGAGATTAGCTGAGATGCTCTCAGAGGATGAAAGAAACCCACAGAACGAGACAAAGAGGGAGAAAACTGATGGAAAGCGACGTTCACACCGTGAATAGCTGCAGCAAAAACACTGAAAAGACCGGCAACAGTTGTTGAAACTCTACAGGAGAGCTGAGTTCAAAAGCTTAGAGTGCAGCTCACTCAGTCCCATGTTATCCTGCTGCACCGAGGTTTTAAAGAACACAAATATAGCTTCAATATAACAGCAACGAATATCCGTAAAGTTATAGTGGAGAGTCTGGAAACATTTAAAACTACAATAAAACAAAGAATTATTGCAGATTTTCTTGGTCAAAGAGCAAACCGGAGATGATTAGTAGCATCGAGCAGGTTAAAAGGTTCAAAGATTTAAACATGAATGTAGCATTAATGCAGCATCGACCTCTATGTCAAGATGTAGTGGAGAGTTTCAGGAGAAGTTCTCACATAAGATGAAGAAATACTTTAGATTCTGGAGTGTTTCTATCAAAATAAGGAGGATTCATGGCGTGTTAAAGGTGCAATGCACATGTTTTTGAACAAAAATCTATCTTTCACATAAAATCAAATACCAATCTGCTGTGCTGAGACACAGTAGAGACTTAAGGGGAAGTTACGACACATAAAATTAAAAAATATTTCAGATTCTTTCTCGGTCAGCAATCAAGCTGACGGATCAGCGGCATGTTGAATGTGAAAGATTTTGAGCATAAATAAAGCGTTAACGTAAAAGCAAACAGCTCTCTGTCAGGGAAAGACATCGCTTAGAGGAAAGACTCTTCAAACATTCAACATTTCAAAAGACGAGAAGTTATGACGAATAAAATAAAGAAATATTTCAGATTCCAGACTGTTTCTGGGTCAGAAAGCAAAACCAAAAGTGAGTTCAGTGGCACGTTAAACTACAGTGTAGAGGGCAGTCTGAATGTTAACCAGCAGCTACTACACCATCAGGACTTCTGTGACGGTTAGTGGGTGTGTTTTACGCTCCTATAGTTAAATATTGTGCACAATTAAACCACTTTAGTGGCTCGTATCATGTGACCGTGACGTAAATCTCACTTTCAGTTGGGGGTGTTCATGAATTACCAGTTAATCCATTTATTGCTGTTAACAATTCAACTGGTTTAAAATAGATCAACTGACGAGCATTCATGTATCGTATCGTAGAGCAGCTGCAGTACCTGGTTGTTCCACCAGGTGGAGCCTCTCACTGTTTATTACTGTAGAGACCAGAGGAGGCGTCACTCAGACGACAGCTCATGGTGGCAGCAGAGAGCATTGTGGGAGTTTAGTGGAGGTTAATGGAGTCCAGTCAGCTTTCACATAACGGCGCTCTTAAAGCCCGACAGCAGTCAAGATGTTTTATTGGATCACATCACGGAACTGTGACACAAATAGTTAAATCAGCGTATAAAACAATCAAGTTATGCTATCGATTAGTCAGTTATTGGTTGATGACGCTGCCGACTATCCATTAAGAACGTTGTTCAGCACTTTCCTCTAGTTTAAGTCTTTGTCGTGCTAAGTTTTGTTAACATCATGAGAACATTTGGCACGAACTCACGCCGTCTATTTCTGCCGTTCTCGGCTCATTACAGGTCAACAAGTGACAATAAACGGTCCCGACTCGGGTCAAACGTGACGCCAAGAACTCTCAACTCATTGGGATCTTTTTCAATAACTCTTACAGTAGAAAGAGGAATTTTTCAGATGCAGCTCGGCTGAAGCTGGCTATTTTAGTCTCAGAGAGATTATTATAATTATGCGGCAAGAGGTAGTTTAACGAGGCCTCTGAAAGGCACAAACACATTTTTACACGCTGGTGGTGTTTGAGGATCAGTTTTCCAGGATCTCTGACTTTCTAGCTGTCAGTACGACTCTGTGTGGTCTTGTTGTTGTAAGAATTTTGACCTTAATCTTGCCTGACTTCAACATCTGACCCTGTTTTCCTTTGAGAGAACCACAATTGAAATCAGCTTATTGTGTTTTTTTGTTTAAATCCTATACAGTTTGTTTGTGTGGCAGATTTATGCGACAACGCTCTTGTATTTACTTCTATTTTTGTCAAATAATTGTGTAATAAGTGTGCGTCAGAGACATTTGGACATGTGGGACTTCAAAACGTTCTTCTGACTGTTTTCATTGTGCGTCAAAATTAATGACACCGCGTCGGAATCAAAAGTTCATGTTTTGCGACAGGAACATGTGTGTGTTTGGAAGCGATGTGCTGGACGAGATACAAACTCGTCTCCTCCTCCGCCGGCCGTAAAACAGACCTTTCAGCGCCGCCGCTCGCCATTTCGCTCCACTTTATGTTTCAGCTAAAGTCTCGTCGTGAACCAGACGCTTCGCACATGTGGAGTCCGTTTATCAGGAACAGACCAGACAAAAATGCTGCTCGCTGGTGTCTGTCTGAGCGTCAATCGACAAATTTAAAACATGAAATAACATGAAAGAGTCCCGTTTGTCCTGAGATCGATGCTCGAGGGAAAGTCAAAGCTTCAGTGCCAAAGCGGGCCAAACCACAAAAAATCCAGAGTTGAGTTTGATGTTTTTCTGATCAGTGTTTATGGTCGACTCGTTGGTGGCGAAGTGGTCCAACCAACAGCCCACTAGTAATGTCTGATTTTGAAGTTTGGCCCATGATGGTTTTGGCTTGAAAGTTTAGGTTCAAACTGGACCGAGCCACAGGAACCGCAGGTCGCAGGGAGTTGCAACGATTCAAGATGGCGGACAGCGTGACCCCGAGCCTCGTGAAAACTCAACTGGTAGGTATGGTGAGGTACAAAAACAACGTAACTAACCACCACCAAGCATCTGTTTCTACCCCACGGTCCTCAGAAGCATCTCTAGTTCCTTGAAGATCCTCGGTCCTCTAGGTCAAGGTTCTTCTCGTAGATTAATGGTAGCAGCTGGACTCGCTTGAGTTCCTTGAAGACGTTCCACCTTCATCTAAGAGGCTTCATCAGCTCTGATTGACTAGTTGGGAGTTCCACATACTTCTATCCTGAAGGAGCCGTTAACACCTGAGTTTGGATTTCAATTGGGGGTTTGTTGCTCCTCCCCCTCGTTATGTGAGTCGTTAGTGCTCCCCCTGTCACAGTGGGGTTCGTTAGGGTCTTTTGTGGCTCGGTGTGGATGTGGGTTCATCTTCCTGGGGAGAGATCTTAAGACTGAATTGTAAACAGGTGAGAGGTGATGCCTCTCGAGGTCCGTATGATGTAAACTCGCTGTTTAGCGAGACAAACCTGGAATCAGTTTTTTTCTCAAAGGGTAGAAAATGGCACCCAGCAAAGGGAAAGGCACAATTAAAACTGAAGTAAGTCATCACAGAGCAGCTGTTTCTATCTCTGGACAGTGTTGGAACATCTTTGGATGCAGACAATGACTCCTCCAACAACCAGGATTCTGACCCCATTTTTCTCAAAGACCAGTGAATGCGGTTTGGCCCACTTTGGCACCAACGCCCTCATTTATACCTAAAGGGTTCCTCCTCTAAGGAATCTGTCTTCCAGGATACAGTCACTTCTAACAGCAGTAAAGGTTGCAGTACTTACTTTGGGTAGTTCATGCAGTAGAGTGTGTAGATGTCAAACGCTTCACTCTGAAAAACGAAACAAAACACAAGCAAAATCAAAACAAGGTCACGTAAACCTACATATACCATTTTTTTAATGTCAAAAGTTGTTGAAAAACCTATTTTTTCATGTAAGAAACACCTTAAACGTCCCAAAACAGTCCCTCTGCTGTTTTCTCTCTTTCCTTTCAGCCATTAAACACTAAACGCTCACGTCTGAACTTTAAATTCTCACCATCAGACACACAAGAGACAAAAATAATCGGATTTACTCCATCGTACATACGAATCACAATCTGACCCTTGAGGCTACAGCCTAAACTGGAACTTTGTGTGGATGACGCCTGGTAGTTTTAATTGTAATTTGATTTATGCGTCAGGAAGCAATTAGGTGTTTATCTCCGACTGAGCCGCTCTTTAACCGCAAACTCATTTCACTTCCTGTCGCTCCGTCAGAAGGTCGCAGAGAAAGACCTCGTTGTACGAACATGCTCAGGTCTTAAAATAACTCTGGGAATCTCTTAACTGTTTAATCTAATGTCCACTGCTCGGAAAAGCACAGAGAGTTCAGTGTGAGCAAACCTCCCCAAGCTCAGATTTCACTAAAAAAAAAAGTCCTGGGATGATGGCATGCGGTACAGTTCATTAAAACACGAAGCAGGACGATAAAAGAATCATTACTGAAGCTTGTCCCACTTTCTGCTACAATGATGTCATCGCCCAGAGAGCTGCTCTGTGATTGGCCGAGGTTTGTGAGCAGCAGAGTGCATGACGTCGCAGAAACCAACACGTTTGTTGTTTCTAGAGCTTCACAAATGTGTGAGTCGTCCTTTTTTCTTTTGCCGCACGTTTACGGCTTCGTTTTTAATTTCCTCGCTAAACGGCGTCGCAGCTGCCAAGAGTCAAAGTGACAGAACAGGAAACGTGGACGAAGTCGTCACGGTCACGTTCGCTTATTAGCGTGAGCTCACAGTAATAAAGCAGTTCGCACCTGACCAGCTGAGGAAAGTATTAACAAGCTGTCCGCGTGTTTTTAAACCTCTAAAAGTTCATCTCTGTGTGTCAGAGTTTTATATTTTTAAGTTTTATCCATGAAAACAGCCCTTTGAAACATCCACGCTGCAGTTCGAGCACACCAGCTCACCTACAACTCTGCAAAACGGCTCTACGCTGCAAGTTGTAATATTCAGGCAGGCAGAAAAGCATTCACCAGACGTGGAAGTTTTCCCCTTTTATTGCTTTACAACCTCTAATCATGGTCAGTTTAATGATCTTTGATGATTTAATGTCAAAGTGAAAAAGCACCAATCAGCTGCACCGGTGCTCACTGACTTATATCACTTGGACTGGGGTAAATACATAAGCAGCGACTTATTTTGAATGTAATACTTTAAATTAATTGAAATTATTTTCTCTGCTTTCACTTTGGCATGAAAGAGTCTTTCTTTGGGGGTTAATTCTTGTCACAAATACCAAAATATATTGACCATGATTCAATGTTAAGGGCAACAAAAAGAGGAAACTTTTTAAAGACACCAAACAAACCAGAAGAATAATGACACAGAAAGTCCCACCAATAGCAGGCAGTTCTGGTTTATGAGGTGTGTTATGCAACAAAGTCTGAATTCATGTTTTTGAGACCACCATTGGGAAAAAATGCTTATTTTATGCAAAGACACCACATAGACTACTTATAAAATTTGCATTGAAAACACTGGAAGTGGACACATGGAAGAAAAGTCAGCGCAGGACAAAATATCAATGGAAATCCAGCATTATCTACCAAGTATTAGAGCTGAATGACATTAAAAATACAATAAATCACCTCCAACCTCACTGCTTCTGACATTAAACCTTCATCCTGGGAGCTCTGACAGACGTAAATGAAGGGATTTTGGAATAACGAAGGAATCCGAATGTCTTTCGTCAACCTACATGTTGGACTTTTCTTGCATATGAGTTAAACTGGCATGAAAGAAAAAAGGGTGTCACCAAAGTAATTAGGGCTCTTCCTCTGGGGGTCATGAACATCCATTAGCTGTCGGGGCTACGGTGTTGGTCCGCTCACAAAACATCCAAACTGGCCGCAACATGTGAGAACAATCTGCCGGCTGTCCGGCTCGTACAACACGTATGGATTCATTGGGTGTCGGCTGACGTGCAGCAGCGGCAGCAGCTGGTTTTGCAGAATGATGTTTGTGTGCTGCAGCGAGGTGAAGGTTTAGTTTAACCGGCGGTTTACTGGGTGTTGTGTTTCCTCTCAGCCTCGCACGTACAGAGCTGCGCTGTACTCACCCTTTCCACGAAACACTCTGCGATGGCGGCGGCGTGAGGACTCCGCTCCAGATCCTCCAGAAGATCACTGAGGACACAGAGACAGGAGGTACAAAGTCAGTCCTGGTTCTATCAGAGAGATCCGGGTTCAGGTTAATACGTAGCACCAGAGTACACCAGC